AACTCTGTGCCAATAAAATGGACAACCTGGAAGAAATGGACAAATTCTTAGAAAGAGGTATAACCCCAAGACTGAACCAGAAAGAAATAGAAAATATGAACAGACCAATCACAAGTAATGAACTTGAAACTGTGTTTAAAAATCTTCCAACAAACAAAGTCCAGGACCAGGTGGCTTCACAGGTAAATTCTATCAAACATTTAGAGAAGAGCTAACATCCATCCTTCTCAAACTCTTCCAAAAAATTGTGGAGAAGGGAACACTCCCAAACTCATTCTATGAGGCCACCATCATGCTGATACCAAAACCAGACAAAGATACTACAAAAAAAGAAAATTACAGACCGATATCACTGATGAATATAGGTGCAAAAATCCCCAACAAAATACTAGCAAACAGAATCCAACAACACATTAAAAGGATCATACACCATGATCAAGTGGGATTTATCCCAGGGATGCAAGGATTCTTCAATATATGCAAATCAATCAATGTGATACACCATATTAACAAACTGAAGAATAAAAACCATATGATCATCTCAATAGATGCAGAAAAAGCTTTTGACAAAATTCAACACCCATTTATGATAAAAACTCTCCAGAAAGTGGGCATAGAGGGAACCTACCTCAACATAATAAAGGCCATATATGACAAACCCACAGCAAACATCATTCTCAATGGTGAAAAACTGAAAGCATTTCCTCTAAGATCAGGAACAAGACAAGGATGTCCACTCTCACCACTATTATTCAACATAGTTTTGGAAGTCCTAGCCATGGCAATCAGAGAAGAAAAAGAAATAAAAGGAATACAAATTGGAAAAGAAGAAGTAACACTGTCACTGTTTGCAGATGACATGATACTATACATAGAGAATCCTAAAAATGCCACCAGAAAACTACTAGAGCTAATCAATGAATTTGGTAAACTTGCAGGATACAAAATTAATGCACAGAAATCTCTTGCATTCCTATACACTAATGATGAAAAATCTGAAAGAGAAATTAAGGAAACACTCCCATTTACCACTGCAACAAAAAGAATAAAATACCTAGGAATAAACCTACCTAAGGAGGTAAAAGACCTGCACTCAGAAAACTATAAGACACTGATGAAAGAAATCAAAGATGACACAAACAGATAGAGAGATATACCATGTTCTTGGATTGGTGGAATGAAAATTGTGTAAATGACTACACTACCCAAAGCAATCTACAGATTCAATGCAATCCCTATCAAATTACCAGTGGCATTTTTTACAGAACCAGAACAAAAAAACTTAAAATTTGTATGGAGACACAAAAGACCCCAAATAGCCAAAGCAGTCTTGAGGGAAAAAAACGGAGCTGGAGGAATCAGACTCCCTGAATTCAGACTATACTACAAAGCTACAGTAATCAAGACAATATGGTACAAAAATAGAAAATAGAAAAACAGAAATATAGATCAATGGAACAGGATAGAAAGCCCAGAGATAAACCCATGCACCTATGGCCAACTAATCTTTGACAAAGGAAGCAAGGATATACAATGGAAGAAAAGACAGTCTCTTCAATAAGTGGTGTTGGGAAAACTGGACAGCTGCATGTAAAAGAATGAAATAAGAACACTCCCAACACCATACACAAAAATAAACTCAAAATGGATCAGAGACCTAAATGTAAGACTGGACACTATAAAACTCTTAGAGGAAAACATAGGCAGAACACTCATTGACATAAGTCACAGCAAGATCTTTTTTGATCCACCTCCTAGAGTAATGGTAATAAAATCAAAAATAAACAAATGGGACCTAATGAAACTTAAAAGCTTTTGCAAAGCAAAGGAAACTATAAACAAGATGAAAAGACAACCCTCCGATTGGGAGAAGATATTTGCAAACGATTCAACAGACAAAGGATTAATCTTCAAAATATATAAACAGCTCATGCAGCTCAATATTAAAAAAAACAAACAACCCTGGGATTCCCTGGTGGCGCAGTGGTTGAGATTCTGCCTGCCAATGCAGGGGACACGGGTTTGTGCCCCGGTCCGGGAAGACCCCACATGCTGCGGAGCAGCTAGGCCCATGAGCCATGGCCGCTGAGCCTGCGCGTCTGGAGCCTGTGCTCTGCAATGGGAAAGGCCACAACAGTGAGAGGCCCACGTAACGCAAAAAAAAAAAAACCCAATCAAAAAATGGGCAGAAGACCTAAATAGACATTTCTCCAAAGAAGACATACAGATAGCCAAGAAGCACATCAAAAGCTGCTCAACATCACTAATTATTAGAGAAATGCAAATCAAAACTACAGTGAGGTATCACCTCACACCAGTTAGAATGGGCATCATCAGAAAATCTACAAACAACAAATGCTGGAGAGCGTGTGAAGAAAAGGGAACCCTCTTGCACTGTTGGTGGGAATGTAAATTGATACAGCCACTATGGAGAACAGTATGGAGGTTCCTTAAAAAAATAAAAATAGAATTACCATATGACCCAGCAATCCCACTCCTGGGCATATACCCAGAGAAAACTATAATTTAAAAAGGCACACGCACCCCAGTGTTCATTGCAGCACTATTTACAATAGCCAGGTCATGGAAGCAACGTAAATACCTATCGACAGACGAATGGATAAAAAAGTTGTGGTACATATATACAATGGAATATTACTCAGCCATAATAAGGAACGAAGTTGAGTCATTTGTTGAGACGTGGATGGATCTAGAGACTGTCATACAGAGTGAAGTAAGTCAGAAAGAGAAAAACAAATATCGTATATTAATGCATGTATGTGGAACCTAGAAAAATGGTACAGATGAACCGGTTTGCAGGGCAGAAATTGAGACACAGATGTAGAGAACAAATGAATGGACACCAAAGCGGGGGAAGCACGGTGGGGTGGGGATGGTGGTGTGCTGAATTGGGCAATTGGGATTGACATGCATACACTGATATGTATAAAGTTGATGACTAATAAGAACCTGCAGTATGAACAAACAAACAAACAAAAAAAAAAAGACAAAGGCACTCCAATGTTCATTGCAGCACTATTTGCAATAGTCAGGTCATGGAAGCAACCTAAGTGCCCATCGACAGACGAATGGATAAAGAAGATGTGGTACATATATACAATGGAATATTACTCAGCCATAAAAAGGAACGAAATTGGGTCTTTTGTAGAGACGTGGATGGATCTAGAGACTGTCATATAGAGTGAAGTAAGTCAGAAAGAGAAAAACAAATATCGTATATTAACGTATGTATGTGGAACCTAGAAAAATGGTACAGATGAACTGGTTTGCAAGGCAGAAACAGAGACACAGATGTAAAGAACAAACGTATGGACACCAAGGGAGGAAAGTGGCGGCGGGTGGGGGGATGGTGGTGGTGTAATGAATTGGGAGATTGGGATTGACATACATACACTAATATATATAGATAACTAATAAGAACCTGCTGTATAAAAAAATAAATAAAATAAAATTCAAAAAAATAAAAATAAAAAAGTATACAGTTCAGGGACTTCCCTGGTGGTCCAGCGGTTAACACTTCACCTTCCAATGCAGGGGGGACGGGTTTGATCCCTGGTCAGGGAAGCTAAGATCCCACATGCCTTGGGGCCAAAAAAAAAGCATAGAACAGAAGCAATATTGTAACAAATTTAATAAAAACTTTAAAAGTGGTCCACATCAAAAAAAATCTTAAAAAAATAAAAAATAAAGCATACAGTTCAGTGATTTTTACTAAAGTTGTACAACATCCCATTATCGAATTCCAGAACATTTTCATCATCCCCAAAATAAATCTTATACCATTAGCAGTCACTCTTTTTTCTACCCTTCAGTTTTCCACAGCCCTAGGCTACCATTAAATTCTCTGTCTCTATAGATTTGCCTAGTCCAGATATTTCATATAAACAGAATCATACAATTTGTGGTCTTTTGTGACTTTTTTTTACCTAGCATAATATTTTCAGGGTTCATGTATGTTGTAGTGTGTATCAGTATTTCATTCCTTTTTTTTTTAATTTATTTTTTTTTTTTATGGTACACGGGCCTCTCACTGTTGTGGCCTCTCCCGTTGCGGAGCACAGGCCCCGGACATGCAGGATCAGCGGCCATGGCTCACAGGCCCAGCCGCTCCGCGGCATGTGGGATCCTCCCGGACTGGGGCACGAACCCGTGTCCCCTGCATCGGCAGGCGGACTCTCAACCACTGTGCCACCAGGGAAGCCCACAGTATTTCATTCCTTTTGATTGCTGAATAATATTCCATTTTAAGGTTATATCACATTTCAGTGATATCCATTCATCAGTGGATAGACACTTGGGTTGTTTTTACTTTTTGGCTATTATGAATAATGCTGCTATGAACATTGTGTACAAGTTTTTCTGTGGGCATGTCTTCAGTTCTCTTGGGTATATACCTACAAGTGGAATTGCTGGATCATATGATAACTACTTTTGACATTTTGAGAAAATGCCAAACTTTTCCAAAGTAACTACATTATTTTACAATCCTGCCAACAATGCATGAGAGTTGCAGTTACTCCACATCCTTGTCAACACTTGTTATTGTCTGATTTTTGGATTATAGCTATCCTAGTATGTGTGAAATAGTGTGTCACTGTGGTTTTGGTTTGCCTTTCCCTAATGATGTTGAGCATCTTTTCGTGTGTGTTGGCACATCTTTTGTACATCTTCTTTTAAGAATGTCTATTCAGATCCTTTACTCATTTTTAAAATGAGCTGTCTTTTTATTATTAATTTGTAAGAGTTGTAATCATTTTTATCAGATTTATGATTTGCAATTATTTTGTCCCATTGTATAGGTTGTCTGTTTACTTTCTTAGTGGTATCATTTGAAGCACAAAAGTTTTTAATTTCAGTGTAGTCCAGTTTATTTTTTCTTTGGTTGCTTGTGCTTTAGGTGTTATCTAAGAAACCATTGCCTAACCCAGGTCACAGAGATTTATTCCTATGCTTTGCTAAGAGTTTTATAGTTTTAGCTCTCATATTTAGGTCTCTGATGCATTTTAAGTTAAGTTTACATATGGTGTGAGGAAGAGGTCCAACTTCATTCCTTTTCATGTGGCTATCTCTTCTGTTTCTAAGGTAACAAGAATGTGGTAACCAGAGAGCACTTAGACCGTATGAAGAATAGCTGTATCGTTTGTAACATGGGACATTCCAACACGGAGATTGACGTGGTAAGTTCAAGTGACTCATCATTGGGTTTTTTAAATTTCTTTTTCTCTCTCCTTCCCAAGAAACATAAACTAGAAGAAGAAAGAGCAGGGTCACCAGCCATCATAAACGTGACTGTACTGGTAGAGCTGTTCACAGTCTGTTCACTCACTATGGCTTGTGCGTATGGATTCTACAAAGCTTCTTTATCTCAACTTAATCATTTCAAATGATTGGTTTTTTTCCACTTAAGCTTGATACCTACTTGTACTGTAAGCCATTTTATCTTTATGATTAGGATTAAGAGTTGGGTAAACTCAAAACTACAAAAAGGATACAATAAATGTGAGTCAGTATGCTAGTCAGTATTTTGGAGAGATTTGATTTTTGCCATAAAGGTGAGATTAGTAGGTTGGTCCAAGGAAACAAGTCAAGGGAGGGAAATCTATGGGCTGGGATGAGAGCACTGCTTAAGATTGACTGTGTCTGTCAAATATGGTGGTTTCCCTTTGCTCTCCCTCTTTTATGGGGCTAGGTCTCCCCTTAACATATTTTCCAAACTGTAGTATTGGATCTATAGATGTCACAATCAATTCAGTAGCATGTGTTCCTCAAACCTGGAAAACCTATAGCTTTGGTTCTCTAGTTTTATTATAGTCACCTAAAATTTTCTGATCCAACAGAACATTTGATCCTACTAAGGTACCCAAGTAATAGTTAATAGAAGTGTTATTTATTTCTTTTCAGACTTACCAAAGTATCTCTCAGTGTGACTTTCACTCTGGTTTTAAGTTTTTATGGCATTTTTCTGACACAACTGTATTTCTCTCTGAGTAAATTGCTCAAGCAAAGCATGCTTTCATCTCCACTGAGGGCTGCTCTGATTGAGCTTCAGCATTGCCAGGTAAGGATCAGTTGATATACTGAGAGCCTGTGGGATATCTATTTTAAATGGTTTCTCTTTTTAACTCTGTGCTCTATTCTTCTGTTATTAAAAATAGCTGGGAAAACAACCTACCAAAGCCTGTTTCTACCCTTGAGGTTTTGGAGTGGCGTGGCTCCATCACTTTGTCTTACCATGATATTTTGCTTATAATGAGTAATTTATTTTTGTGTTTTTGAGGGATTTTGTTGTTGTTTTGGGGGGGGGTTTTGTTGTTGTTTTTTTGTTTGGTTTGGTTTTTTGGTTAAGTTTCACTTTTGTGCCATACTGCCCGTTTACTAAATGGTCAAAGGTATCAATATTTCTAAAACTATCTAGCCTATGATTGTCCTTTTCTGGATTGATCTGCTTGTAGAGCCCCCAGATGGAAAAAGCTTAAAGGGAAGTGGTCATGCTCTGAGCCCTGAAGTGAAATCTTCTGAGTAAGCGAACAGGGAAGGAATTTCCATTCTAAACCCTCAAGAAGCTCTAAAATAAAGATCATTTCAATGCAGTCATGTAATTTTTATATTTTTACTTTATCTTATTTCATCCTCTTGACCACCCCACGAGGCAGTATTCTTATTCCTGATTTTCAGTTGGGAAAATAAAAGCTTAAGTACGTTGTTCAGTCATAGCCATTGATTCAAAAATGAAATTGAAGCACAAAATTCAGGTTTTTTGACTTCAAGTCCAGTTTTTTTGTTTTTGTTTTTCTGTATGTTTTTGTTTGTTTTTTTAGTTTTTTAGTTTGGTTTTGGTTTTTGGTTTTTTTTTGGCCGTGCTTCACAGTTTGCAGGATCTTAGTTCTCTGACCTGACTAGGGATTGAACCTGGGCTCAGGGTCAGGCCGTGAAATCGCCAAGTCCTAACACTGGACTACCAGGGAATTCCCTGTTTTTCTGTATGTTATACTATGATCTCTTCATGCTTTTTAGATTACCTTCAAATTGTGGTAATCTCTTCTCCAAAGGCAGCCCAGATATAAGTAATCTCTCAGGATAAAGGCCAGGAGACTCTTTACCTTCAGTCATAAATATTTATTGTGTGATTGCTATATGCCAGGTCCTGCTCTATATGCTTGGGATCAGTGCACAAAACAGGCAAAGATTCCTACCCGCATGGAACTTATATTTTAGTGAGAAAAAGGACAATAGACATAATAAGTAAAATTTATAGTATGTTAGAAGGTGAAAGCACCGTAGAAAAAAGAAAAAGCAGAGCATGGTAAGGGGAAATCAAGAGTGCTCGGCTGTAATTTTAGATAGAGGGATCAAGGTATAAGCCTCATTAAGAAGGTGATGGTTGAGCATATCTGAAGGAATTAGCCATGTTGACTTTTAGGTGAAGGACATTTCAAGATGAGGGAACAGCCAGAGCTAATGCCCCAATGCACGAGTTGCCTAGTCTGTTTGAGGATCAACAATGAGGCCAGTATGACTAGAGCAGAAGAGCATGGGGCGGGCTTCCCTGGTGGCGCAGTGGTTGAGAGTCCGCCTGCCGATGCAGGGGACACGAGTTCGTGCCCCGGTCCGGGAAGATCCCACATGCCGCAGAGCGGCTAGGCCTGTGAGCCATGGCCGCTGAGCCTGTGCGTCTGGGGCCTGTGCTCCGCAATGGGAGAGGCCACAACAGTGAGAGGCCCGTGTACTGCAAAAAAAAAAAGAGCATGGGGCAGGGAAGAGTGGAAAATGAGGTCAGAGAGGTAATGAGCCACATCTTATAAGACCTCAGAGGCCATTGTAAGAACTCCTGATTGTGTTCTGAGAGGAATATGGAGCCATTGTAGTATTTTAAAAGTATCACCCTGGCTGCTGCATTGAGACTAGACCTACTTTTTCAGGTATTGCTAGGTAGCCCCAGTATCTGCCACTGACACTAGCCAAGAACCATCTTTCAACTCTCTTTGTGCTCTTCTTAGCAGAAAGTATATGACTAAACTAAGTGGTCCAGAAAGGGAGATGTTCAGAATGACTTTGGAAAAGTTTAATTGTGCAACTTTCAATGGTAGTGTCACAGGGCATGCAAAGTGAAATTTAAGGAAATAGCAAACTCAACTAAACATTGATTCCACAATGTTCATTCACTACTTAGCAAATTTGTGTTGAGTGCTCGCTCTGCTCTGTGCTAAGTACTAATTGGCTGAAGAAATAACAGTGAACAATATGCCTGCTTTCCTGGAGCTTATATTCTACTGTGGGAAACAATTACTAAATAGACAGTTATGGACTTCCCTGGTGACACAGTGGTTAAGAATCTGCCTGCCAGGGCTTCCCTGGTGGTGCAGTGGTCGAGAGTCTGCCTGCCGATGCAGGGGACGCGGGTTCGTGCCCTGGTCCGGGAATATACCACATGCCGCGGAGCGGCTGGGCCTGTGAGCCACGGCCACTGAGCCTGCGCATCCGGAGCCTGTGCTCTGCAGTGGGAGAGGCCACAGCAGTGAGAGGCCCGCGTACCACAAAAAAAAAAAAAAAAAGAATCTGCCTGCCAATGCAGGGGACGTGGGTTTAAGCCCTGGTCCGGGAGGATCCCACATGCCGCGGAGCAACTAAGCCCGTGTGCCACAACTACTGAGCCTGCAATCTAGAGCCCGCGAGCCACAACTGCTGAGCCCACGCGCCACAACTGCTGAAGCCCGTGCACCTAGAGCCCGTGCCCTGCAACAAGAGAAGCCACCACAATGAGAAGCCCGCACACCGCAATGAAGAGTAGCCCCCACTCGCTGCAACTAGAGAAAGCCTGCGCGCAGCAACGAAGACCCAACACAGCCAAAAAAAATAGACAGTTATTTTCAGTTAGTGCCTAATACTGAAGTAAAACAAAAAGATGAGGACATTGAAGTTGCTATTTAATTAGGGTGATCAAAGAAGGTGTCTTTGAGGAGATAACATTTGAACAAAAACTTGAATGACCATTCTATTCAGAGAGAATGGTGAGTCAAGACCATGAGGTAGAAACATGCTTGATGTGTTTGAGGAACAGAAAAGGTGCCATTGTGGCAGGAACAGAATGGGCAAGGGGATGAGGATAAGAGGCAGCAAGGAGGTAGTGGGTTATGTAGAGCTTTGTAGGCCATAGTACGGACTTTAGATTTTATTCTGCATACAAGTGAAGCCATTGGAAGGTTTTGAGTGGGTGACTGATGAAATCTGACGTATGTTTTAAAAAATAACCTTGGCTGTTGTATGAAGAAAACACTTCTGGAGCTTGACTGGTGATAGGGATGATAGCAAACTCTTTCAGTATTTCCAGCAATAGAAGGAAGTAGCTTGGATTAGATGGATAAACAATGGAGGTGATAAGAAGTGATATATTGTGAAGGTAGGACCAGTGGGCTTTGCTACATGGATTGGATGCAGAGTGTGATAAAAAGAGATGAATCACTGTAAGTTAACTCAACAAAACTGGAAAGGAAAATGACTTGGTAAATTTTTATCCAGAGTTTTTAGTGATCAAAAATGTAAGGATCTTTTTTTGTAGAGGAATTTACAGTTTACCTAACCTTGAGATGTTGACTGCTGCATTTTAAGGAAGCAATTGCTCATGGAAAGAGTTGGTCATTTAGAAAACTGTATTTTTTTCTGAAAAATAATACCATGAATACTTAGGGGACCTGTGATAGGGATGTGCTCTTAGCTGCCTTTTGTCCAAGTCTTTCTGTCACATACTTCCTTTCTCTTGAAAAGAAACCTGCTTACCCATATATATCACATAGACAGCCTGTGTGATTGTAAGCTTCACAGTTCAGGTGGTTAAACCATTATGTGCACATGCTTTAAAAGTTTTTGCCAGCCTGGGCTACACTGGTAGCGCAGTGGTTAAGAATCCACCTGTCAATGCAGGGGACATGGGTTCGAGCCCGGGTCCGGGAAGATCCCACATGCCGCGGAGTGGCTAAGCCCGTGCGCCACAACTACTGAGCCTGCACGCCTAGAGCCCGTGCTCTGCAACAAGAGAAGCCACTGCAGTGAGAAGCCCACGCACCGCAACGAAGAGTAGACCCCACTCGCCACAGCTAGAGGAAGCCTGAGTGCAGCAATGAAGACCCAATGCAGCCAAAAATAATAAATAAATAAAGTAAATTAAAAAAAAAAAAAGTTTTTGCCAGCCAAAGAATTACAGCCCGAGACTTGCTACTGACTCCATGCTTCACAGGACTAGAACCACAGCTGTTCTTGGCTTTACAGTGGGACGTACACCTAGTTTGGGAAGGGAGTGGGCAAAGGGGACCTTTTTCCTGGTAGATTGCTTAGTGATTATAAATCCACAGAAAAGACATTGGATGTCTTTAAGAGAAATTCTTGTAGAACTGTGCTAGCCATAGGAAACACTTCTCTCAAGGAGTGTAAATGCCAAATAGACTATAATAGTTTATTGGAACTGCATGGGCAGTGCTGGGGATAACTTAACCAAGTTGCTCTTCAAACCTCATTTTAAACCCTCAAGTCTTTTTGCTTGCATCATAGCCATCCCAGTGCTCTAGTAAATTGCCTCTACTAAGCACTGATCATTTTTATGATGTTCCTAAGAAGTTCCCTTTCCTTGATTCCACCACATCTTTTTTACCAGGAAATACTTCCTAAGACAAGAGGCTCTTGTTATCATTGTGTCAGCTCTTTACTTCCAGTTGTCAAGATTGCTTGTCCAATGGAAGATTAGGAGTATGAAACATTAAGAACTTGAAATACTTTAAAGTCCCATTATCTCAATTAAAAAATTGCTAGTGTTACCAAAGAGTATCTCTTGGCTCTACATGGTTATTGTCCTCCATGGTGATATTTCTAAAGGCTGAGGGATTTACTCTGTATATCCTTCACATCCCCAAATGGCCTATTTGCTTAAATTCTTTTAAACTCTATTTATAGTGTTTATTTACAAAATTTCTTTTTAAAATCCTAATTTTAAAGTAGTACTTCCTCAATTTAAAATTCAAGCAATATAAATATGTATAAAGTAAGAAGCAAAAAATTTACAAAATTGAGGTTACAGCATATTATTTCTGCAACTTGATTTTTTTCACTTAATAATGTATGGTTTTCATGTTAACAAATACAGATCTACTAATTTCTTTTTTTTTTTTTTGAGAATTACATTATATTCCATTGTATGGAATTATCCTGATTTACTTAGCCATTCCCATATTGATTTACATTTTTTGCTATTATAAATAATGTTGGGTTAAACATTCATGGGCACTTATATTTCTGAACTTGAACAAGTATTTCTATAGGATAGAGCCCTAAAAGTGAATTTGATTGGTCAAAGATTAGGTACATATAAAATTTTGTTAGCTACTGCCAAATTGCCCTCTAGAAAGGTTGAACTAATTTATGAAACTTGACATCGGAAG